TTGGAATTTACTGTACCCGTAAACAATTTATCTCGAGTAGTACATAATATAGATAAAGAAGAATTACACCAAGTTACAGATATGAGTGCTGGTACAATGTCGAATCAAATTATATTATCATTAGAGAAAGAAGCTGGTATCATTAAAAATGAGTCATCTGAAAATAATTCTATGAATATTATAATACCTGTAAATTTTAATCCAACTTCTTCTACAATTACTTCCAATACAATAGTTAATGTTACAATACAAGATAATAGCACATTTAAACATATTATAAATGAGAATAGAGAATCTAGTTTATTACAAAGTGAAAATAGTAACGTAGAAAATCAAATTTTAAACACAAATGAAAAATTAGAAAAAAATAATTGCTTATTAGATTCTATGTATAAAATAATAAGAGATCATTCAATGGGTGAAGTTGAAAAACAAACTAATATTCAATTTAACAGTAGCAACGATAATATAAAGAAATCTGTGCATCAGAAAACGAACGATACATTAAGTCCTTATACAACGTATTGTAATGATGATTTAAAAGAAAAAGAAACTGCACATAATCATCAAACTCTAACTTCATTAATATCATCTTTCGTGTATGCAGATATGATAGAAGATGATTCATTTGTAAAAACGACATATAAAGTCCAGCAAGAAACGCAATCTAGTGAAAATGTTATGGACGTGAAGTCAGTAATTGATATGGTTAATGTACAAGCAACATGTATTCAATGTCCTGAAATATGTATCACCAACGATGAACAGATAGTGCAACAATCTGAAAATGATCTTGAATGTTATTTCGAAAATAATAATATTCAAGTAGGTAATGTTATGATTAACAAAGAAAAGAATAATCAACACGATTCAGATAAAATTCCAAATAAAATAATTGAAATTCATGAAAATGTTTTTGAAAATAAACTTAACAATGGAAGACTTACTAATACTTCTATAGAACTAGAAGTTATTCAAAGAGATAAACAATTAGATAAAAAAGACAATATTGAGAATGATTCAGCTGCATGTATAATAAAGTCTAAGAAAAATTCAGCTATGGATATAAATGAATGTGCTAATACTCATAGTAGCAACAATCAGATTCTTGGCAGATCATGTGTTTTTTCACCGACATTAATTTCTGCTTACAATCAAAATAAAACGTGTATTGGAGAAAATAATATTACTCCAATAGCTGGCACGACAGGTAAAATAAAAGTTAATAGTTTTAGCAATATAATGAAACAAATGCTAACTAATAATAAATGTGTCGCAGGGAAGTTGGACAAGGTAAGAATTTAGAACGTTATTTCGATTTTATTGAACGTTTCATCCCTTCACCGGGACTTCTTCAGCAACTGAAATTTTAAAAAATTCATTTCCTTTTATCAAACCACTATCAACTAAAATAAGTAAATGTTTTAAAAACACTAATATAAAACTAGTATTTTATAATTTAGTATAAGTTCAATAAGATCGAAATAATGTTCTAAATTCTTACTCTGTCCAACTTCCCTGCGACACATTTATTAATAATTGTATTTTTGGACGTGATAAACAACTAATTGGCTAACTAGTAAGTTCTTTTTCCACAGACTTAACATGCAACATGAATATAACACAAAATAATGAGAAATTTTTGAAAGAAGAAGTTGCATTGGAGAAAAACACTAGAGAAAATTCCAGTCTTCAGGAGGATAAATTTTCTTTGCTAATAAGTAAATTAAAGAATCATATGCTTAGGTAATTATTTATAGAAATAATGTATTTCTAACTTTAATAGATTAATACTTAAATAGGATATAGAGAAAATGTCAAAATATAATGTTTATGTTCTTTTGTTTATTTTAGTGACGATTGCATATGGAATTTATATTATGAGAATATAGATAAACAAATGATAGTAGTTGGTTTTATTTCTACATCTTTACTGATAATAATAAAAACTCAGAATGAAGTCAACACTGACACGTGTAGGATCAAAGATGTTAATGTAATTTCACGATTAGAAAGTAAGTAAATGAAATAACTGTTGAGGTAATAAATGTTCGTACATTTTAAAATATACTGTTTATTTTTTTTTGACAGATGATGAAAATTTGTTGTTAAGTATTGCACACAAATTACTAAAGGAGAAAATAAATTTAGAATATATTCGTCAATCATATATATATGAAGAAGACATTATTCCCTTGTTAAATCATATTTCAGAAGATGTGAAATTCATATTAGATTTTATATTTGATTTACAAAAATTGGATGATACAAATTTAATGGAAATAAGTACAGAAAGGTAATTATTATATCTATAAAAATGGTATATAATCATTATATAAATAATTTCGCAACATTATTTATCATTTATTTTTATTTTAGCATAACATTTATATTAAGAAGTAAATGCATGGAAATTATATTGAAAATTACAATGGATATTAAATTATTTGATAAAATAAATTCATCACACATCAAGATCGTTTCTATTTTGGGTACTGTAATGTGAGTTTATAGAAAAATATAATACTTTAATGATTTTTGATAAATTAATATGCACACTAAGATATTTTTTGTATCATTACAGAGAGGAAGAAATTCAAGAGTTACTTTTAAATGTGAAAAGAGATTATAAATTTTTAAGGAGATACATGTCTGACATTAAGGATTATATTGATATAATAGAACAAGTTAATTTTGCAAAAGAAATGCAAAATGAATTACAAAAAGAAACAAAAAGAAAAGGAAATTATAAATGATTGAAGTGTGAAATATTTATAGATGGATCGAACTAATGTACAGATGTAAAAGATTTAAATATTTAACTATATGTGGAAAATAATTGTATTGATATTATGTAGAATGTGATATAAAACATATTTTTATAAAATTTTTTTATAATTATATTGTAATTATATTAAGAGAAAGTTACTAACGAAGAAAATTCGTTGGGAATTTTTAATATTTTATATGTAAAAAGAGGTGAGATATGTAAATCATTAGGTAAAAACATTAAATAATATTTTTACTATTCGTTCAAATAGATTTGGTAACAACTATACATGAATTTATAGCAGGTATATACATACAAACAGGTTGATCGACTAGCTTCGATGAAGCCGGTTCGAACTATGCAGGTTTTTGTTAATGCACTTGCAGTTCTTTGGGTAGTAGCGTGTGAACAACTGGCTTCCCATAGAATCATTCGAGTTTCCGTTTAATTCTTAAGAAATAATTATCATCGATACACGTATGATTAGAATTACCGAGAATGTGCAATCAAAAAGTTCTTCATTTCTTTATATTATTGACAATTAATTTCATGACAATAAATATATAATCTGATAAGGAATTCAAAATTATATTCCATTTTATAGAATCGAAACAACAATCTCACGTCCATACGTTTATTATAAACAAAAAAAAAATGAAGAATTTCGAAAAGCAAAATATTATTCAACGAAAAGACTATGAAACATCCGAGGTACTTTCAAAGCGATAGTGAAACTGTTGAAGCATGAAAGGTAAGAATAACTGCAACAATATTGCGTTGGTTTTACTCCCACGTGTTCTACGAACGTGTAAGTAATACCTCATAGGAAGGTTAAACATGAATAATGAAAGTTACATTTCTTGTTTTTTTAAATAAATTCAAAATTTAATTTATATCAAATTACGCGTATTAAATAATCATTATCGCAAATAGAATATATGTATATTTAATAGTTCATCTATGCATGTATCAATGTAAATATAGAAATATTAGTTAAAATCATTTTTTTCTTTTTTATCAATAACGTAAAATCAATGCAAGTACTTGTTAATCATAATTGTTCATTGCTTATAAAATGTAATTGTACAATAGAGATGAAGAAAATCTTTTTTCTTAGTATTTCTCTTGTAATTTTACAGTTTGAAATAATTTTTTGTTCTCGTCGTCTAATAAACACATTTGAATCGTTAAAGAAGTCAAACTTTCTTTTACTATAGCCATGTCAGTTCTACTCGCGTAGGCGTAGAGGCCCGGTTTTACGTGATTTCGTAACGGAACACACCGATTTCCAATATCAAAAAGCATTTCACGAGTATCCCGAAGACCTTCTAATTAATTCAAAAGTATTTAGCAAATTTTATATACGAATATTGAACGATAAAAGCGAAAAACAAACGTTTATAATTAAGATTTCTAAATATGCCGCGCATTCTCGCGCAATTTAAATCTCTCAGCGGAAATAAAATTCGTTTCGGCAAGAAAAGTCCGAATATATTCGAAAAAATTGAAATTACATAGATATAAAAACGTCTGTATAATGCATTTATTATTGAATGATATACACACGTATACTTCTATATGTTGTTAGTGATAACATATAATAATAGAGAGTATAATAAATTTGAACAGATATTAAGTATATTATTTATTCGTTGGACGTTAGGATAATCGTCGATGAAAGATTTTTTGAAGCAGAACTGTTGAAAATATGAATGTCAGGATTATTTGCAGGTCGATCAACGTTGTCAACCTGTGAGACGATACCTGTTCATGCATCGGGCAACAAGTAGAGGCAGGGTCAGGCAAGGAAAGGGTAGTGGGACGCGGGGGTTGGGGGGAGTTAAGGCAGGAAGGTGGGTTGGCAAGATAGTGTATGGGGGGAAGGAGGTGTGCGAGCAGTTACGGAGATCTCAAGTGGGCGTAAGGGCCGAGAGAGAGAACGTCGTCTTGTGTTCCATACATGGCTATGACATGTGCTACGCGAAGAGACACGGAGAGACGGACGGACGCAGCTTACCGGCAAGCAAGATACCCACCACCATTTCCCCACCACGTGGACATGGCGAAGGCGACACGTTTTCTCTCTCATCGCATGGCTCGATGCACAGTGTCCCGTAACACGACGTCCTTTCACGATCATCGTCATCGTCGTGTCATCGTCGACGTCGTCTTCGAATTTTTTTTCAATTTCAAATATCACCAATTACGCGCCCTTTTCTACGCGCGTTAGAAGTTGAAAAGGGGGACGATATGTGTTCGTCGTCATTAAATTCTCATCGGCATGACCGTCGTTATTATCTGCCTCTTTTTCTTTCTTTCTTATTCTGAATTTCGCGCGCGACCTTTCAAGTGTCCGTCTATTCGTCTTTTCACCAAGAAGGTAGGAAGAGAAAAAGAAGGAAAGAAACAAGAGGAAGAAAACTAATAAAAAGAAGATCATCGTCTTCTGGACGAACGTACACTCTATTCTCAGGTGCGCTTTTCTTACTTTTTTCTTTTGCTCATCCGTAATACTTTGGTATACCCACATGTACATGTAGGTACTCTACTTCGACTGCGCGTAAATCTACCATCTCTGTTGCGCGGGAAAAGGTGTGCGTGTGTTACCCTGTAAGAGTAACTACAGGGACCAACAGATATACCTAAAGGACGGGGCCGTAGCTTTACGCATACCATTGCAGTAGATACGTTCGTAAAGGACGTCGCATCGCAAACAGGACATTTTTTTCTCTCCTTTTCTTCCTACTCGCTTTTAACCGTTTACTTTTTCCAACTGGCAAGATAGACTCGCGTATGAAGCGTATGGGCATGACTTCGATACAACATTCTGATAAAATATTCAACATTGCTTAAACAAATTTTATTCCTATTTATATTCTTTAGAAAATTTATTGATCATTCATTGTCGATCATTCGAATCTGGCGCTAATGAAATGCAGTTGAGACGGATCAAGTTTCCTTTAGCGAGATAATGCGACGACTTCTTTTTCTCTTTTTTTATATCGGCTATAATTCGTTGTACACATACGTGATAAATTAAAAATATTCTTAGGACTTTTTTTTTGTCTTCCTTTCATGTGACGAGACGCGAAAGTTTGAATATTATTTCCTCAGATTTTCACGTATACGAAATTTCTCGAGATTTGAGATATAAAATTTCAAAGAAACAGATAAGAAATAATGAAGTCGATAAACACGGAGCGACAGCTTTCATGGTACTACCTGCATCGGCTCTTGATTGTTTTTTCAATGAATGCTCTCAGCATTTTCAGCATCTCCGAAGACGAAAACCAGTTTCGCGTCCGGACTTCTTGAGAGCATTGGAGAACATCGATGCAAGAGAAAGAAGGAACCATTCGATCTTCGATCGCTAGAATTGCTTTCAATGTACTTTTTCAACATTAGTTATTACGTTCTTCTCTTTTCCCGCATTGCTTTCAAAGCAACGCTTCTCTCGTAGGCTTCCTTCTCTTTTGCTACCGTTCTTTCTCTCATTCGACCAAGAGGAGTTTTATTTTCGAAATGTTTATATTGTTCGAGGATTTTGTTGGCGAGGGGCTCATATTTCCACACTTCTTCCATAATTTCAACTTGCGATAAGGGTTCATGATTCAAAATGATTCTTCTTTCGAGCGATAATACCTTTTCAATCGATTTTCGAATAAATTTCAGAGGTACACCAATGGACATTTTAGCTAGACAAGAAACGTCTACGTTTCTATCTATTCCATGATATTTCATTAACATATATTTATAATACATGTATAGAGTATTATAATCGGTAAGAGGTATCATTATAAATACATTGTGAATTTTCGTAAATGCTCCCTTTGCTTTATATGGCTCGGATGAAACAGTCAGGAATAAAACCTAAAAATATAAATTTACAATAAAATGTTTCGAATGACGAACTCGTACTATGTATAAAATTAAACGAAAGATTTTTATCTCTTGTACGCGCCTTTCTACGACACCACGATATAGGACTGCTGAAAAATAGAATGTTAAAAATCACGTCTTACGATAGCTACGCCAGTGGGTAAGAGTAACTGTCCGGAATCTCTGACACTCTAAATCCTACGTTAACTTGCTACCACCTACGTTCTTCTCGTTCCATATACTGGTAGGAGGTGTTTCATTGATGACCAGCCTCGGACGATCGAGGCGTTTCAAGTAATAAAAGGAAAAAGAGTGAAAAAGTGAAAGAGAGAGAGAGAGAGAGAAAGAGAGAGAAAAGAGTCTTGTTTGATTGGACCCGTGGTACTCGCTTGACTGGAGTTCATTCATATCGAAGAAAGAGTAAAAATAAGATTTTTTCATTCCGAAGTGGGCGAATACTGATCATTGAGTTAGATAATTTCGGTCGAGTTTAGGAAAGTAGAAGGAATAGTTATTTCACACGAAATACGTTGACGAAGTAAGAATTAGAAAATAATTCGTCGATCGCGGACATCGACTAGATTATATGAGATTAACTCTTTTTATTTTAACCATCGATAATTAAGGATTTGAGTAAACAATTGATTACGATAATCGATTATTACCTGATCACCTGGTCTGATACTTTTGACAAACTTTGCGTGGTGTTTAGCAAATCGTTTGGGTTGAAGATATCGTTCCTGTAATGGGACTTTCTTTAACCATGGTTTCTCGCTACCGTCGATAAATATCACGGAAGGGGCATAAATGCGACTTAATTTGCCAATGATATCCATTAATCTGCGTTCGTTTCTTTTCCCAATATATTTGCCATTTAATACAGATGGTGTTAAATCGAATAAGAGGGCACCAACCTATGGGGTAGTGTTAATATTTAATTAGTAATTAAAGTATTACTTTCTACGTGTCTTGCTAATTTATTTAAAAATGAATATTTAACCTCCGAACAAATTGCATCGACCAGAAAAGTTTTACCATATCCGGGTAAACCACAAATACAAACGGATCGTATTAAGGGTGCAATTGTATGTATTTCTTTAGAAGAGAGGGGTAGCACGCAATACTCCATGATAATTTGTTTGATATCACCAAGCTGATGATAGTGATCTCGAAATTCGGAATATGCTTCGTAATTTTGGTAAGCAAGATCACCAAACCAATCGTTCAAGCTTCTTTCTGGATAATTTCGAATAATATTTTCTTGTACCAGTTCTTTAAAAAGTTCTTCTATAGAAATATCAGCTAAACGATCCTTTTTTGATTTGCCTTTACGTTTCTTTCTTGGTGGTCTCTCTAATTTTAATTAATGATCATTATTTTTTCGATAAATTGATTATATTGTTTCTATCAATGAATTATTTTGTCAAGATAACACGTACGTGCACCTGGCATCCGAGGAATCTGAAATTTAGGTCTATCAGCCGCGTGATCTTTCAATAAGGCTTCGTTCAATTTCTCCAATTCGAGTCTCATAAGTTCATCAACGATCAGTCGCATTTCTAACTGAAGTTCGTAACAAAGTCTATCGGTGATCAAATCGAGATAAGGTCTTTGTAAGGGATTACAAGATTCGTCTCGATAACTCCAATTTTCGATGAATTCATTATTAGCATTTTCCAAACAGCTAAATACTGGAGTTTCTGGCATAAACCATCCTCTAGCAGTTTCCACAACTTTTGGTTTTATCTTTGCTTTCTCTGGCTGTGCAATCTCTTTAGTTTTTGCAGCTTTCTGCTTTTGTATCTGTTGCATTAAATATTCTTCTGGATCCGTAGTCTGTCCCGTAACTATCAGAACACTACCACCTAACTCTTCTGATGGATAAACATCAAAGTGTCCAACTGTATCGTACCAAACGATGAACCATTCCTGGATTTCATCGGTTATATCCTCTATTAATCCAGGCCCCACCATTTTCAACAACTTTGAAGAAAAAAATGTTATCAACGAATTGGTCCTCTTACCAAATTGAACAAATAATCATATTTAAAATCTTATATTAAAAAATGTCACCCTAATACGTTCATCGTGAAACATTTTTTCAGTTCGTGCAGCATACGTCGGTATGATTTGTAATCTCTTTTGAAAAATCTCCTCGTCTCTTTGATAAATATCTGGAGACTTCCAACTTGGGATCGTCATATCTAATATTTCTTCTAACCGATTTAATTTCCTTTTGAAATCCTTTCGAGCTGCAAATGTTCTCCAAGCACGTTGAATAATAACGATCGCTTTAATGTACATTGCTTTATCGAATTTCGTTGGCGAAGCCGTATCACCAGTTTCCAATTTTCTTTTATATTCATACATAAGTAAAGCTAGAGGTCAATATTTAAATAGAAATAAAATGTTAAATAAAATATCGTTTTTATTTTCAAGAAAATAAGAAATTATAAAATGAGATTATTAGATTGAAATTACCTTCTTTACCAATGCAACGTCCGACTCTAGCTCTTTCGTGTGACTGTATCAAAAGCACCGCATCGTGCATAGCCTTTTCAGCAGCTTCTCGAGCTTTTCGAGCTTCGCTAGCTTCCTTTTGCTCGGGCGTTTCTATTAAAACTTTCATTTGCGCGATATCGGTAGGTCTGTGTCTCCTTCTACGCATTAATTGGATTTTAGACGGTGTTTCCTCCAATTCCGTCATACTACTTATCATCACCTGTGAAAGGCTTCGTTCTTTTATCATAAAAGCTGAAACATATGGTACAACGTATGATACATCTGATAGAATAATATAACAATATAATATAGTATTGCTTTGATTATAACCAATCAACAAATGATCAGAATTTCGAATCAAAAATGATATAATATTGAAAATCTAACAACTTCAATTTTTCATTTTGAAACGTACGTTCTTCTTTCTCTTCCTCTTCTCTTTTTATTTTTTCGATTAATTCTCTACGTTCTAAAGCATGATTTTTATCGATCGTCAAGCCAATAGTGTCTACGTCGTCCGGCGTTAATTTTAATTTATATAACACATCGTCGGGCCACCTTGATTATTCGTAAACGATTTATGATCATGACAATTAATTAACAATAAGAATTATATCTTACAATTAAAATAAAATAAATTATATATACTGAAAATAAGAACAATCCAATTTAACGACTTCTCTTTTGCATTGGAGCATTCGACCAATTGCACAATCGACTACTTTCTTGATTAATTCTCGTTTTTGTGTTTGAACCATTTGATTATAACATATGACAAGTCTTCTCACAAGATGTCGATATCTATAAATACATATATGTAAAAATAAATATGGAAAGATATGAGATTAAAAGAAACAACAATTCCAATTTGTAGTATACCTTATGTAAAGATTAAGAGCACGATCTAATGCATTTTCTCTATTCTTTATAGGTTTGCTTTTTTGTAGATCTCGATCGAATTCCAATAATTTTTCAAAATCGCTTCTTGTTACGAGCCATACCTCGTTGTAATAATCGTGTGACATCGATTTTTAATTGTATATAAAAACATTGAAATATTTAACAAAATGTATTTAATTCATTTTTCTGAAATTTAATTGCCGAGAGATGGTTTATTTTGATGAAACAATAATCAAATAGTTTAAAAATGTGAAGTCATAAAAAGATCGATTTTCTATCGATATTATTGAAATAATTCACGTTGACAAAATTGTATCTATAATCAATAATTATTATACTTTTCAGGATGTCGGGGATATCTCAAAGTTTCATTGTTTTGGCCACGATCGTAACAGCGTCGTGTTTCGTTGGCGGAAACGATGAATCGACGATTAAGTCGTCTTCGATGATGTCTACTTTACCCACAAGTACAGATATACCCATGATCGATTCAACGACGACATCCCTAGTAGACGCTACGATGATAACGACGAATTCAAGCGAAAGCATTCAAAACATAAATATTTCATCAAGTATCTCGAGTGAAAAAGATTCAGAGGAAGTTTCAACGGCGTCGTTAATGTCCGACTCTGTTTGGGAATGTCCTAATATTACGAGACCAAGCGTTGAATGTTCTTGTGATTTTCCACATACTCTTAGATGTACTGGAGAAAGAACAGCTTTAAACGTATATATATATAATACTACATTTGACATTATTATTGTTGTAAGATGTGTTTGTTAAGAAAAATTGAACGTCTTTTCTGTTTACTTCAATTAGGTGATCAGCGAACATTTAAAGAGCAATAAAGCAGGAACCATTTCTCTTTTGGACGTAACTGTAACAGGAATTTCTATATTGCCAGCACGTTTCCTCGAAAATATTGGCCTACATGGACTCGTAGTTTCTAGCGGAGAGCTGACACGCGTTCATGAAAATGCGTTTACTGCTCTAGCTAGACCACTTCAGGCTCTTGGACTTCCTAATAATCTTTTAGAATCCGTTCCAACGTTGGCATTGGAGTATCTCACTGGATTAGATCGATTGGATCTTTCTCATAATAAATTGAAGACATTAGAAGCAGATTCGTTTAGCGTAAGTTTCTTAAAGAATAATTGTAAGCATTGTTTGAGTATTGTATCATTCGTTGCAGGGCTTGTCAAGCTTAACGTACCTGGATTTGTGCGATAATTTACTTTCGCAATTATCGCCGCAAGCTTTCGCGGCTCTTCCAAATCTTCGATTTTTGCGAATGCGGGGGAATCGTTTAAGCGTTTCGGCTCTTTCGGCGTTAAGAGGTCTGAAGAATTTGGAAGAACTCGATCTTTCGAGTAATTTATTATTGGGACCAATGGGACCAAATCTTCTTCCGTGGATGCCACGTTTGCATTTTCTTAGCGTATCCGAGAATGAATTTATTAATGTACAACAAGGAGCTTTAAACGGTGCTAGAAATTTGAGTTATCTCATCCTCAGTCATAATCAGGTTAGTGATGTGAGAAGGTAGATTTTGTTTGATCAATGGACGACATACAGTGCATGTCTTTTACGTTTCAGATCGACGTTTTGGAGGATCACTCGTTCAAGCATTTATCTACATTGACTAAATTGGATTTAGCTAATAATCGTATAGTAGACGTTTCTAGCGCGTCATTGGCACATTTAGAAAAATTGACTAATCTAGATCTAATGCATAATTTCTTACGATCGTTAACGGCTGACCTAGTAGTGCCTTTGAAAAGTCTCGAAGACTTACGTTTAGATGATAACGAAATTACGATGGTTTCCAATGATGTGCCGATATCGAAATTACGATTAAAACGACTCTCCCTTGCTGATAATCCTTTGAATTGCGATTGTACCCTCTTAGACTTTGCCACTTGGCTAAGTAATTCGAGTTTAAGCGAGGAGGACAAATCTTCCGCCGTTTGTGCCACACCACCTACCTTGGAAAATGGAATTTTGACTCAAATCTCGCCAGGAAGTCTGCTATGCGGAGAACCATCTATGAATAGAGCAACTTTAAAGGAGTACCGTTACAATCAATTAACTGGAATTCATCTTTTATGGAACATAGAGCCTTGCACAGAAAATTACACTTGCGACACACTGATCGTTTACGAAACTGTAGGGGACAATGAGGTTCAAACGGAGTCCAATCCCTTACATTGCGATCCTCGTATGATGAAAGATCCTTGTTCCTTGCCAGTAACCACCCCGCCGTCATTTAATTTAAAGCTTGGTCACAAATATCGTTACTGCGTGGTACTATTTATTCCAACGACGTACAATGACGAGTCTCTTGGTTTGGGTTGTAGCGACGTTATAACATTGGAAGAGACTAAACAAGAAGAACAGCAGGATCAAGAACCTACAAATACTAATAATTCTTTAGACGTCCGAATAACTGCGGTTCATGTTAATGTGTCTGATCAAGGTTCTTTACACGTAAACGTCGGTTTATCACCTTCGGAAAAATCTGGTGCTTCGCCGTGCGAAATCTCCATAGTTGTTTTCAATACTGAAACAGCCATACATAAATGTAAATTAAATTGCAGTTTAACGTTTGTCAGTCTGGAAGTATTAGTGCCAGGTCATTACAAAGTATGCGCCAGTCTAGACGATCTTGCCAATACCGAATCGATCGCGTTTAGTATTACTGAAAACGATCGTGGTCGATCTCGGTGCGTTGAAGTGCAACGTTTCAAACAGAATACAGAAGCTATTATTTTAATTATCATAGGAGCAACTTGTGCTCTTTTGATCGTGCTCGTTTTAATTGGTCGAAATATTGTACGTAAGATCCGTCATCCTAGAATACAAACCCAATGCTTTTTACCAGCCCAGGAATTCGAAATTACACATAAAGCGCATTACATTAAATTATTGGCCACAACCAAGGTGTGAACGATCACTTGAATACTTTTGAGAATATTTTGTTTGATAATCCATTGTGTGGATCGATCTTTTTATTTTAATTCAGTACCGAACGCGATTGATGAATCAGAAATGAACTGCTAGTCATAAAGAGGAATTGGAGATTTACATACACCGTTAAAATGTATGTTGTCTATCGATCTTTGCTTCCGATTATTGCATAAACTTTATCCAGAGACACGTATACAGAGTGGTAATACGTTAAGGATTATTTAATACTGTATACCGATAATTAATTAATACTACGCATGGTGTGTTTATACAAATGTACATTTTGTAATTTGCACAAGCAAATGAAGTTTTAGAAACGTGCTATGAGTTTATTTGAAAGCACTGCCATTTTAAAACATTCAGAATAATCCATTCAATGGGATATATTATACATATGTAGAGTTTGTTGTTGTTAAAGATGGACAATGAGTCTTCGCGAAATCATTTTATCGATTAAAATAATGAAATATAAGAATATGTTTAAGTGTCAAAGCAAATATATCAAGTATTTGGATGTAATATATTCATTAATTCATTATACATCTACTTGATAAAAGGTTTGTAAATATATTCTATAATCGTTTTCAAGCGCATAAGCATATTATACGCATTGTTGAATGCCAATAATACATAGTACTTATACAATTGTATCTTGAATATTTTCTTATTATTAATATTATCCTTTCACAGCATATTTTATAAAATATAAGAAAAATATATTGAAAGTAATGCAACAAGTTGGCATACATATTAGTATACATATATACAAACGTACTTGAATTATTTTTCGAGTTTACGCGTACTTGATAGAATTTTATAATCGATTTTTTCGAAAACAAAAGCTTTTATCAAAAATCTTTATATTATTTTCGACTTGTATTACAATTTCCGGTATACGCTGCATGTGTTACGTAATAAATCGACAATGTAATGGCGCTGATGTATACTGTCATCAAGTCGATCACGTGTTTCAATTAATGTCGTCGTTCTTCTTATTTCAATTCATTTTTTTCTATATTTATAACATAAAATTTATCAATACGTTTAATCTAAATATAAAAGCAATCAAAGTATTTTATTTACATCTTTGATAATTAAACACATACGCAAATATAGACAATTATATATTATTCTTAAATTCAAATTATAATAGAAATTAAAACATTAGGAAGATTGGTCCATTTTTTTTTGAAAAAATAGACGTGCATCAAAATGGATAAAAGCCAAAAATTAAAATTGCTAAAGGATTCTATTAAGAGTTACGAAGATTTTCCTAAACCTGGTATTATTTTTCGGTAAGTCATATAAAATAGAAATAAGTTAAACATTTCAATTTTTTAAAAATTATTTTGCATGTTTTTTTTCTTTTATTTATTAGATGTATTATGTAGTAGAAGTTACTTATTTTCAGAGATATATTTCCTGTGTTTCAAAATACGTTAGCATTAAAAGCTATGAGAGATCTGCTTGTGGAACATGTTTTGTTCCTTGAAGTTGATTTGATTGTAGGTTTGGACTCCCGTGGATTTTTACTTGGCCCTATGATATGTACCGAAATTGACAAACCTTTCATACCGATTAGGAAAAAGGGGAAACTTCCAGGAAAGGTCGCACGTCAAAACTTCAATTTGGAATACGGAGAAGTTAGTTATATACAATTTATTCGTTTTTCTTTTCTTATTTTCAAATTGTTTACATATATTTGATCAATGTATACGCTTTGTTGCTACTGCAGGCCACATTTGAATTACAAGTAGAAAGCATTAAGGAAGGTACTCGAGTTCTTATAATCGATGATTTATTAGCAACAGGAGGTAAGATTTAATTTTGTATAACTTTTAGCCATTGATTTATACGTACAGATCTCTCTAAATCTACATAATATTTTAATTTTTATTATATTTTAATATACCGCTCGCGTATACAGGTTCTATGGGTGCAGCTATTAAATTATTAAAATCTTTAAATGCAGAAATAGTGGAATGTTTAGTGGTAATGGAGTTAACTGAATTAAAGGCACGGGAAAAACTCAATGTATCTGTCCATTCATTTGTCCAATTTTGATCATTAAATATAATTAGACAGATGCGTAATAATATATACATATAAAATTAAGGCACAACCTAATATAATTGCACATGATGCAAGAAACTTTTTATATGTGAAACATAAAAAAATAAAATATTTTTGCAAATAAAAATATTTTTTCTCTTTTTTTTTTTAGATATCATATGTACCCAAATACATATGAGAAAGCTATTTTTTTTTATAAATTCCAAAATATAGGATAGAAGAGTACTTTTTGCATGATTATAATTTTTAAATAAATATTAAGGAATGTATATTTAAAATTAAATAATATTAACTAGTCGGTCTATTACATCTCAATTCGTCTAAAACATTTTGTACTTCATCTTCTAGCCTAGCCACATCTCTTTGCAATTTTGTACAATTTCTTAATTTTTTATTATCCAATTTTGAAGTATTTTCTGAATCTGTACTACTATATGTTTCTGATTCTGAGTTTACTAGAAGATGAGAAAATTTTCTTTCCATATGTTTATATGATGCTGCTTCTCCTTTCATTTGTTCTATTACTTCATTTAATTCTAATTCTTTATTATATAACTGTGCTCGAAAAGATTTTTTTACTTCTGAAAAAATTAAAATTTTATGTCAAACAAACTATATATAATTTTTCAATAATTATTGTTAATTAATCAAGTTATTACCATGAAGTCTTTTTTTATGAATTTCTTCCATAAAAGCTTTCGCTGCATTATTTAATCTTTTTTCCTCTGTTAATATAGCTTGTTGTTTGTATCTCTGCAAAATTTGTTTTTGTTTTTGAAGCTTTTGAAGTTGAGAGATATTTAATTCTTCTGTAAGAAATTTTGGATAATCTTCTAATACAAACGGAGGATATGGTCCTTTCTTTGGCAATTGTATCAACTTATTTCTAAAACAAATTATAGTTTTATATATTAAGATATAAATTCAAATACAAATTCATAATTGTACTACCTAAGATAAAGATTAGGATGCAGTCGATGCGGAACGTCTTGATCAAGATGTTGCGCTACTTTTAACAACTCTTTTGCTCTTATATGTCCTTGCGTTCTATAGAAACGCTTTAAATCTTCAGTCGTATGTAACATAAAAATAATATTACGCGAGCAAATACTATAGGCAATAGTGCACATAAGAAAAAGTGTAGGTGTTTGAAAAGATAATAAATGGTCCCACAAAATAAGCCACTCATCACCAGACAATACTTCACTCATTGTTGTTTGCAGTAATGGCCATGCATATTCTATAGATGTTATGCCACGTTCGCAAAAGATATTTAGCAGTTGTGGATCTACTCTCAATAGAATATTTTCGATAATACCCAAAATATTTAGAGGTGGTAAGGGGTGATATTCGAACCATTTTTGACAATAATTTACGAGTATACTTAAAACAAGTTCCAAAGCAAATAGTTGATCTTTCTGAAATAAGTACGTGCAAACATATAATGGAAAATTATACATACAGACATAATTAAATAGAATATTATTAGAGTATTACCTGAAATACCATAAGAAATGGAAATACTAGATTTGGCAAAAATGAAGTCTGAGCAAATAAAGGACACCATTGTATTAAACAATCTATTATCATTGTTAATAATGATGCCTTACTGCGATCAGCTAAATGATAATTTTTAAGAAAGTTTACAGAAACTTCTTTTTTTTGCGTTACATTATTCATTAAAGAAATGAATGCAGTTTTATTGGCTGGAAGTTTTAATATCGTAGACCAAATAAGAGGACGATATTTGTCAGGAAATTTTCCAAATTCTTGTAAAATCAGTAATAGTCTATCGAGACGTAATTCTTGTTTTATATTTTGTCTGATACATTGAAGGTGCTCATTTATTTTGTGAGCTTTAGGTCTACATTTGTTTTCTAACTTTTCTAATTTTTCTGTTCGCATAGGTTCTGGAGAGAACAATTTGTCACAAAGTATTAATTTCAAGAATCCTTGTTTGTCAATAATCGTTATATATCTACCATCTGAAGAAACTACTACTTTTTTAACGTTATTGATTTCATGTTTCATATCAATGAAACATGACAAATTTAAATCAAGAATGTATAGCATGCAATTTGATGAAATAACTGCTAATATTTGATTAGCACCGCTATCTAATGGCAAAGGTACAATAGACATCTGTTTTATACCAATGAATTTTTCTGGTAAACTCCAACTTTTGATCATATTCCAGTTATATGTATTTAAAACAATGATTTTGTTTTGAGTACTAGCTATTATCATAGCTCTTCCATTTTGTGTAAAAACAAAGTCTTTTATATTACGTATACCAAATTTCTTGATATCTAATTTTGTATCTGTATCCAACAGATTAAGCATCCAAATTTGTACGCTATCATTGTGATATAATACAACAATATGACCCAAGTTTGATAAGCTTGCTTTTTTTATGGATACATTTTTAGTATTAATATGTAATTGATGCGCTTTACTAAAAGACTTTAAATGCCATATTATAACTTCTTTGTAAGAAAACGTTAAACAATAGTCCTTATAAAAGGAGATATTTGTTGGCGGTAATTTGTGTCCTGATATTAAACAGAATTCATTGATATTTGCATGTATTTTCATAAGCTTTATGTCAGCAGTGGTGAGACCTATTATTATTTCACCATTGTCTATAGGATTGAATGCTACAAAACAAGCTTGTCCTATTGCACCAAGTTTCTGATAAGATGGATGTACATTTGTTAAGTCAATATAATAAGCTATACCTTTGGAATCTATTGCTATTAATCGTTCATTATCGCAAGCATATGCTATTTGAACAAAATTTATTCGTAGAAGACATTGTCTTACATCTTTTATTGATTCTGCTTCTAATTCATACCAGTCACTACTCTTTTTTAATTTAACCCACTTCCTACAATGCATAATAGCTTTGCACAACGATGAAGTCCTTCGTAATTGTGAAATTTAATTTATTGATTAATAACATAATTTTTTACATTAGTATTATACTTTATTAACAATTCATCAAAAAAATGTTTATATTGGTATTTGTCAATTTTGTTGATAAACATTCGATGCATATTACATTGATGTTAAAAACACATGTTAGTTCGTCTTATGCGCAACATGCATGCGTATTATACCAAGTATCAACCGAAAAAAAGACTTGTTATTGGCTCTTCTTTATCTACAGATAAATTTACTGTAACATCTGATACGTTAAGAAAATTGACGAAGTATAACGTGCGCTTCGATTGCGAGTTTTTATTTTTTATTTCGAAGAATATATTATTTTTGTTTCATTAAATTATTTTCTTTAAATATTACAAGTAATATATTTGAACGCGGATTAAAGACAGCTTTTACGAGATTTGTAACGTTTTATGTTTAGTATGTCGAGCACAAGCTAGTCAATACACATTCCGTGTTTAACTAACGCGACGGTTTAACAATACTTTTTAGATGAATTAAGTTACTCGTAAATTCTTTTGGAAGGATTTTTGTGGAAGGATTTGAACATATTAGTATTAGAATAGTAAACTTTTTCATAATGGTAAGAAAATATTTATTACTTTTACTAATGATACTACAAATTTTGTAATTTTATTGTTTGAGGTTATGATTATTAAGTAGATTGAAAAATATTAGGTTAATATAAATGTTAGGAAAATATACGTGTATACAGTCTGTCGCAGAATTTCTGAAAGGACTTCCTTCGCACGATGAAAATAACTTTGCGAACTTTCATACCGACAATGGAAATCGTACCTGTGTTAAGAGGCCATCGGTCTATCTTCCAACGAAAGATTATCCACCTGAACAAAGTATGTTTTAATTCTACTTTATTTGAATATATGATTATAAGTAATTTTAGTTAGAATTTTTAACAGTATTATTCCTACCAATCTATTTGTAGTTATAGTTACAGAAAAGACAACAATACTTCTAAGGTATCTTCATCAACAATGGGATAAAAAGGTATCGTAAGTATATGATGAAACACTGCAATAATAGCTTTCAAAAAACACTCGACTACTATAAATGTAAATTTGTTAATATTTCATGTTTTAGAATCCAGAAAAAAAAAGAGAATATTTATCGGGTAATGGTGATGAACAGGAGGAGAGTAGGGCAATTCGCATAAAGAGGCCACGGATAGATCTAAGTAATACCCTTTAAATGGCACCAAACATTCTTACTTTCTATCTATGACAACGTATATTTACGGTACTTGAAAAAAATTATGATATAGAATTAGAAATCGTATTGTGAATTTTATTTTCTAAAAATCTTTTATATGATCAATTTACCATAATTTCATTAAAATTATTTTTATTTCATATTAATTTGTTTATTGGGGTCAAAATCTTTGTATTTTTATTATATTTCTAAATGACATATGTAAACGGCCATATTATTTTTCGCAATGGCTTCTACATAAATCCTACATAATCATTAATATAACATATTTTAAATAATATTTACAGTAAAAGAAAAAATAAAGAAAAAGAACGAACAGATCATATAATGTCAGCCAATATATGGTATCTTTAAATTTCTTAGAGAGTAAAAAACATTGAAAAGTAAAAATACTAATTGTAATTGTATAGTGTCTTGTTTATTTGTACATTTTTTTAATATTAATGAAGTAAAACATACAGATAAAAATTTATTTTATATTATATTTCCAAAAATTAAGAATTGGACCATGCTTTGCAAGATTTTTCATTAAAGCATTTATTTAACATTGTTGTAACATAATATTATCTATTTTCAAAAGACTCGTGTTGCTATACATGAAAAAGAATAAAAAAATGATCTACTATTTACTATTATTATCATCAAAATTATCTGTATGACAACATTATTGCCTTATGGTATAATTTTGTAATTAGCCAAATGTATTATAGATTATCATTAAAATAAACTAAATGCAATAACCAGACAGAAATGAAAAATACTATATATATATAAACCTAAACAAATTGTATTTATCTTCAATATTTTGTATCAATAATTAATTATCTTATGATTTTAATGTTCGAATTGTGTTTAAAAAATTTGTAATAAATTATTAGTACAGCGTTTTTCAAACTATGATCCACAGAACACATTGGAAAAAATAAATTTTTGATTTGTTTTTTACAGAACAAAAGATTGGATAAAAATTATACAAAAAATATGCATCCGCGGACGAAAAAGTTTGAGAAATGCTGGATTTTTTAGTATAAAAAATAAAAAAAACTATTTTTAAAAATAAAATTGGACAAATTCAACAATTTTCAATGAACTTTTATCTCTATATAGGATACGATTAGTTTATGGATCTGACGTACATAACATAACCAAAAAAAGTTAGACAGGAAAATATTTACTGCTATTTTTTAAGTGATATAAAATGTCATTAAGTTCAGATAATTTTGATGAATCGATCCGTTTGAAATGAACCATCGTGCAAATGACAAAAGATATAATGATAGCTCACCTAGAAAATCCCGTGGCACCTCTTCTATATATAGGATTTATTTTTAGGTTGGAGCTAGCCATAGTTCGTATCAAGAATCTGTTTCAACGTTGAATTTCTAGGAGGTTTGTTACAAATACAATTATGCTACACCTCCATATAAACAATTTATTTTATCTTTTATTAATTAGTCGTGTTATTTTATAGAAACATCATATATTTGATAACCGAACTTGATATAATTATACAAGGTTTTATGTTAAAAAAAAACAAAAATTGTATAATTATACATCATACATTCTAATAAATATTTACATTTATGTTTACAGTTGATTAGGTTCGATTTAAGAACAAAATACCTTTTTGTAAATAATTTGTCTTGTGGTACAAGTAAATAAAATTATAATTAACGACGAAATGCGTTCTAATACATTTATTTATCATTTTAGGAACAAAAATGGCAAATGACTTAATTCCTCGGGGCAAAGACAAACTCCAAGAAATTAGTATGAAGTTAGAACAAAGTCATCTGGCTTACCTACAAACCGATGATAGTCCTTTAAAATTAGACCAACGTCGTAAGCTAGAAGGTATAAATGGAATCAAATAAATCTTATATTTCAGATCATATTGTAAAATGACAGGAAACGTGTTCTTCTAATTTTTTTAGTCATAGATATTTTCATTATGATTTCAGGATTTATCAAGGAATATCTCTACCTTGTTCCTAATGAAAATAAATACATGTTTCATGAAACGGCTGATATTTTACGTAGATCTGCTGCTACATTGCAAGATTTTAGCGGTTATAGAGCTGCCACTGCTTGGAGCGCAATTTCTTTATATGCTGCAAATCTCGTTGCACAACCTTGGAGGAAAGAGTACAGAACGTTAAGGGTTAGTACATTATTTTTTTTTTTTTATAGCATTCTGTTATTTTATTCTTGTCAAATAAATTCTTTGCATTTTTTAGACCTATAGCGGATTCTACAAACACGAAGTACAAGCTAATTTAATAGGAGGAGAATTAATGTTTGAACAAATGGGATATAAACACGCAGCCAGGGAAGTGCTCGTTTTGGAAGGTCCGATAGATCCAGACAAAGTAACTAATGTTAGTAGAGATGCGATAGTGGCTTTTGTAGAATGTCAGGTATTATTTTTATAATATCATCGTATAACATGAGATACATGTATTTATCATTGTTGCATTATGTGAACTTGTAATTATAGATGCTATTTAGAAATTTAAACTTATTTGCAGATTTTAAAACAGATATGGGAATGTGTCTCGAAAAATTATACCGTTTCTTGGCTTGAAGTTTTAGAATTTCGTGAGAATCACGTTGGAACTCCTGAACAAGCTATCAGAGCTTTGAATCAACGTTTTCTTGAAAAAATACACCAAAGCCGTATAAAAGTTGATGCATATAGAAACTATCATTATCCGCAACTTGCAACCGTGAATGCGATACCACCGGCTATTAATTATCATATGCCATCCAACAATTACAGTATACCACCATATCCTTCAGATTATAGATGTATTAATGATGCAAATGTGATACCTAAAAATTACCAGTATTTTAATTTAATGGATCATGGGATGGTAAATCGTTATGGTACATACGGATGTATGCCAGTTGGAAATAAGTGTGGTAGTATTCATAATACTCCCTATTATCCTACAGTACCAGCATATGCAACAAAAGTACCTGCGGATAGGCTGGTAGAGCTTAATATGCCACTTCCAGTCGTGAATTATGATAAAACATATAAAAAACCATCGCAAAGAACTTTTGATATGGACGAAGTGGATTTTCATAAAAGACAGCCTATCGATTCGGACTACGATTATGCTAAAGTTGATAAAAAATGTATAAAACCATATTCGAACATAGAGAAAAACACACACGAAAATTGGGACTTTGTTTATAAGAATTTAGAAAGTCAGGGATATTCGAAGGATCTTGGTGATAGAGAAGATATTTTAAACAAAACGGAGCCAGATTTACGATTTTCCAAACAAAAATCATTAAGGTCTTCTGAAAACGAAGAAAAGTATAATATTTATCGATTAGAGAAAAAGAAGTGTGGAAGAGGAGATGTAAAGGATATTAATAATCACGTTACTAATGGACGAAAACACCATCAAGATACATTATCGATTAAAAAGAAATCCTCTTCTTTTGATTTATCTGATTCAAATAGATATCACAACGATGTTACCACAGAGAATCCATCGTACTTATATGGTACAGTGAAAAAACACGATAGTCAGATCTTACCGATGCAACGATCGCATCATTCGTCCGAACAAATTTCAAGGATTGCCAATTCAATAAATAATTTAGAATTGTCAGAATCCAAAAAGGAATCTAATAGTAAAGATCAAAATAAATGGAATTGTGCTACTTGCACATTCTTAAATTCACCCGAGAGAGAAATTTGTGAAATGTGTATGAAATCGAAATTTAAAGGAAACGAAGATAAACCGTTGGCAAGCGGCGGTAAGGAATGCCCAAAGTGTACATTAGTAAATGAGAAAAATGTTTCCGTCTGTGATGTATGCGGTGAAAGTTTGAAAGATTCTCCAACTTATATATAAAAATATTCTGTCTTTGTAAAAAGGTAACGTTTTATTTCTCAATATGATTTTCGCACAGAAAAAAACTTTATATTGTTCTTGCAAAAAAAAAAAGATTAAGTTGTTTTTAAATAAAGACAAATATGTGTTGACACATTGCGTAGAGTCCAGTTACGATGTAAAGACCTTTAGAAAGTACTGTTATATAAAAGTCAAAGAACGTATTAATATATATACACGGGGTGTTAGAGGTTTTTTCATACAAACGATATATTTTGAGAAACCCTGTATATATTACACTTAAATAATTAAGTTTGAAGTAGAGAAAATATGAAGTTATTTACTTTAATGTTTTATGTGCAAATAGGCTTGTGATATCAATATATTAGTATTATTATACTGATGCAGTGGCCTATAAAATATCTCTAATATAATTGATACAAATGGAAAATATAAATGAACTATGATATTACACATACGATTATGCAAACATTAATTTCATATTAAATTTTGAAAGAGGATATTTATCATATTACTCTGTTTTATTTATTTAATAAAAGGTAGCATATAGTATCTTATATAAAAAAATATTAATATTAAATAGTAATTTTCTTATATGCTTACATTAATTCATTTAAAGCTTCTATTAGTTAATGTATATAACTTGGTAGTATTATTAATAATTATGGAATGTAATTATTTTTCACACATGCCATATAAAATCACATAATAATTTATCAAATAATTTATTGCACAATAATTGGAGTAAAACTCCTTGTTACGTAGCGATGAAGACTATTGAAGATGAATTGCCTTGATTATACAAGAATCTAAAAATGTAACCACTGTTATCTTAAAGAATGCCAAATAGATACACTATCTGATTATTTTATTAAAATGACATTACGATTAAAGACATAACTGGGGAACTTATTACAAAATAGTTTATATACTGTTGGAAACAATCTAAATTAATTTTTTACTCGAAAAAACGATACGGTATTGAAAATTATTAAGATATTATTTATTAATATTATTGTCTCTAAAATAAAAATATAATAGATCTGTTAAATAACATTGTCTAATGATGGAAACTATTTGACAAATCCTCAAAAACAAAATTATCATATTACAATTATTAAATTATTAAATTATTAGATAGTACTTTAAACGATTAGAACTTTGCATTACATTGAGTGGTTAAACGAGGCCTATATTCAACAAATATTCAGGATTTTTCAATTATAATTTTTAAACAGAATTTTTTTAATAATATATTTTATAGTATAATAACATGAAAAAACAAGAAACCAACAAAGAAAAATTATAAAATATTAGAGACTTAGATACTGCATACATATAGTTTTCTTTAATAATTTATTTTGTCCTTGATATAATATTTTGTTTAATGTTGCAATGATGTTTTTATATATAAGTTGTTTAATTTATTTAATATTGTCACAATATAATAAAGTAGAAATGAATTTTTTTTAACAGCTTGTTGCTCTGCTTGAAAATAATTGCTTAAAAAATTTCAAGCTTAAATAATGTACAATAAAATAACATATATTACGTTATAATGCATATTCAAACATTCCTCACTTACCTGATTTATTTGAACTTAATTCTATTTATGCATATTTTTTTGTTGACGTATTAAAAATTATATTTGTTGTTTTCTCTTAAGACGATTATATGTGACTTTTAGGATTTAAAAATATTCATGTCTTCGACAAATTTATTTGTAAAATATCATTGAAATGAGCAAACAGAGAAAAAGAAAATTTTATCTTTTAGTAATTATTTTGTTAATCTTTTAGCTTAGGTTCGTGAAAATATTGCTTACAATTAAATGTTATTTTATTAGAGAAATAAGACTTTGTATTTAAGAAAATATGTATGTTTTAATTTTTTTTTAATTTGCATAGTACAGGTGCTTAATAAGATACGAAATTTTGGAATTTTTTTAGATTTAGTAATTGACAAATAACATATATATATATCTATAGACACAATTAAGGTTTGATATATGTTTAAAAGAACAAAATTGATGAGATTTTGAAAAGGATAGTTATGAGTTTCAGTAGAATATTGCCACGTATTCGCATGGAACATTTTTCTTAAAGCTGCTCCTGTCTACGTTTCAAAAATTAGAAGAATATAAATGTATATTTAATATATCGATCGACTATTCTAATATCTGAGAGGACTGATAATATTTTTTCATTAATAATGTATTTAAGTAGGGAGATAAGTACAGCACAAAAAATATAATATTAAATATACAATAAATAAATGTAATGACGATGATTGCATTACAATAATTGTGCTTACATAACATGCAATTAATTTTTTAATAATGTTATCCACATTGTAAACAAATAATAAATTACGTTTTGTATACATTGCAAGAAGTATATTTTGATGATTGTTTCTTTTATACATATATATATATATAATAATTAAATACTATTTAAAATGTTACTTGAGAGAGATTGTGAAAATGAATTTATTTAATAGAATTCTCTGACACTTTTACAAAATGAGATTACGTACTATGTAAGATTATTATATCTGCGTTAAATTATATTTGTAAATATTCAAATGTACAAGCACTTTTTAATTAGACAATTTAATTAATTATTCTTTTTTCTCCTTAATAACTTTGTCTAAAGATTTCATAGCAGCTTGATGAATTTTGTTATCTAATTTATCTGTAATTGCAAATTCATAATGAAATGTAGAATTTATTTCAACTGTTAGGAAAATAATAAAATTACTTACAAATTTTATGTTTTCCTTGTATAGGAAATTTAATAGGAAGAGTATATGAATTTTCGCATATAAAAACATAAGGGCTTTCACTTTCTCCTTCGGGATACATTTCTCTGTACTGTTCTTGAGACAAAACATCAACAACTGTTACACAGCCTAACAAAGAACTAGTAGGATAGCTTTCCGGAAATTTAATTTTCTCTAGAAAAATATAAAAAATAAATAATATTAAATAGAAATTTTTCTAAATAATAATTTATTACTTACCGCTTTTTAATACACGATAGAAATGTTCTATTTCTGAAATATCTCCTGCAGTAGGTGTCTTAGCTGTCGACGCTATCCATAATCTTCCTCTATGAGAAGAATACCAAGTTCGACCTTCGTGACTAATTAATTAACAAATAAAAATCATAATAATATTATTTATTATTACAATAATGAAATTATATACTTTTGAACTATGCTCACAGTTTTATTCCTGCAACCAATAGCGAAGCATACGGCTGATGCATACTTAAACATAAACCTTGATCCGTTAGTTCTAAATATTCTTTGTCTTGAATTTTACTTTTTGCAATAATGTTTGATGTTTGTTTATTAACAGATCGCTTCGTTTCTTGTTTAATATACTACGTAAAAACAGAAGAAACTTTCAATATATCTCTGATTATTTTGTCAAATAATATGATAAATAATAAAATTATGTATTTACCATTGGGCTGTCGAAATCTATATTTGGAGAAATATTGCTATTTATTGGCTCAGTATTTAACATCATTTCATATAGATCGTCTAATTCATTATTCTCCTCTTGACCTACGAATACTTCTCTACCAACAAAATCTAAAGTAACTTTTCTACTCAAACGAGATGCATGTTTTTGAGCACTTATTTCTTCTTCGCGTTTTCGAAATCTTTCTCGTTCTGCGGATGTAAGCCATGTACTATTTGTTTGAAAGTAATCCGATTCATCGTCTATTACTTTTGTACGTCGTGCGCTGTAAAATAATATTCAACTATATGAATCTATACATAATATTATAAAAAGATGTTTTTTTTTATATTATTTATGGCCTGATAAACATTGCAGTTAAATATACCTGTTGCGATCATATTCCAATAGTTTATCGCGTTGTTTGATAGATTCTTCCAAGCCTTTATTGGGTTTCCGATCCATTAATTTATTATATAGATCATCAGCTTGCTTGGTATTACTAGAAAGTATAGCTTGTTGTTCACGAGAACATACCAATGTTTCACAAAAAAAACATGGACCAGATCCTTCTTGATAACAAACTATTCTACCACAATTATTGCAATTATTTATCAGAGAATGCTTTTTTGCTTCACAGTCACATTTGTGTCTACCTGACGCACGCATAAAATTTAATATTATTACTGAAGTACTAAAAATCATTACGCATACGTGCAAAATATTATTCATTGAATATATAGATTATAAACATACCTTTTAATAAAACAGTTTCTCTATCGCGTCCTTCCTGCGAATACAAATTCACAAATTTTGGCTTCTTTTTTTCCATTTTATCTGTTTTATCGATTTTCATTTCTTGAACCTAAAAACGACAATACCACAAGAACTTTTAATCATAACTATTTCAAATCATTAAAAAATATCATTCAATTTTTCGTTCATTGTGATAAATATTTAAAAGTTCATTTTATATATACACCTGTATATTTTCTTTGGCTTTTGTTTTATTTTTTTTCTTTTCATTTTGCTTTTTCTTACAATCATCGTTATTGTCATTCGTTTTTTTATATCCAGCTGGATCATTGCATGAAGCTATAATACATACATTTTATTTATATTTCATTGAACAAAATGATTGCACTATTTAATGAAATATATGTGTATTATTACATTAACTAACCTTGTCTTCTTTTCAATTCAGCTATAAATTGTTTATGTTTAGGATTTTTCAAATCCAACAGAGTTGTAAGATATTCATCCAAATCTCTTTCATTTCGTATTTTTATAATAAATCTAAATTTAAAAGAAATCATTAGAAACACGTGTTTCATAAAAAAAAAAAAAACATATCTAACATATTATAAATATAGTGTACAAAATTGATTCTTACTGTATTAATTCTTCTGGTACTGGGAAATCCAGCAAACCAGATAAACTTTCGTATATCCATTCTTCCATTATCATACAATTGTTAACTTGTGTAATAAAACAATAAGTGAAATTAATTAATATAAATAAGTCAATAAAAGCTGTCATTCAACGTTACTTGTTACAGTCATGGGCGATTTCAGCTCAGGGATGCGGACAAAAAATAAAGTAAAAATGTATTACGGGAATCCCTTTTCTCAATTTATCGTTTGGTATTTACGCTTGTGTAGGTATAATTGTTGAAAAACTTATGGAATAAATCCTTGCAAATGCATTTTTCTTTATATACATAATTTATTATTTTTTAAATGTACATACATGTATATATTTTTAAAACAGATGGCGCAATAATACGTAGGGTAGTATCTTAACATGAATGTACTTACTAAGTATATATATGTTTCATATCATTTAATCGGATAAGATCAGTATACTATAGGCATCGTTTGTGTGTTTATGTATCTATAAGTCACGTGTTAAACGTACCGTAACCTAATAAATATAATTCTGTTTTTAGAATATTTATAAAAGAAATTATAAATGTTAATGCCCAATTATGAAAGTTTTCAAGAAATTTTGATTAATAGAGCATTTATTTGTGTGGATCGGTGCATGACCTATGAATAGAAAAATTAACCTTATCAAATAATGTTTATGTGATAACTAATAAGCTATAATAATCGTTTCATATTTATTATTAGGCTAGAAATGGCTAAAATAATGGCAAAAGAAGAAAATCATTTCAAGAATTCTTGGATGGTAAATACGTTTTTTTACATTGTATAATAAGAACTTTGTAGATGCACTGAAGTTACATAATATGTTCAATTCGAGTCAATTATATTGATTTCATTAGTTTTAATTATTTTCATTTTTCAGATAAGACCTTGCGAAATATACTATGATGAGTACAAAGAATGCAAATATTGGAAATCTCGTTTTCATCAATATTTCATACACGGTCATAAGATTGATTGTTCTTCGTGGCAAAAGGATTTTCACTATTGCAAAATGTGGCAAGAAAATCAATCGGAGGAAGCATACGTATGCGAATAATTTGATAACATGACTTGTTCTTTTAGAGTTTAAGTATTCATTTTAAGTACTAATTCAATGCGATAACATATTAAGATCCATAGAAAATTATTTGTTTTTAGGAAGCCCTAATAACAAGCGAAAAAGAGCATAGAATAAATAGATTAAAAGGACACATAGCGAATAAGGTTTGGGAAAGGAGAGATAAACCACCGGAAGATTGGAATTCTCCTTTACCCGAGTGGATGGAAGAAAAATTTAAAGATTCTTATTTAGAAAAGATGAAGAACAAAGAAATACAAAAGAAAATAGAATCGATAAATAAATACTGCGTTATAATGTAATGTTTTCTTTTTTGTTGTTATACATTTACAAGTAGTTAATAATTTTCTATTGCAAGTAAAATTTGTGTTAAAAATTACTTTGATATAGAATGCGAAAGACAAATGTGAAGTATATCATCTTTGACATTATTATATGTAGTTGAAAGAAGATGGAAAGGAAAGTGGAAAAAGGAACAAACGTAAAGGGGAGGGGAATAAAAGAATAAAAGATAGTCGTACGCGGAGTTGTGAATTCGTGCGAGCACGTGGGCGTGCGCGAAGTTGTGTCAGTCATGCGCGTCAAGGGATTTTTCTCATTCGGTTACTCCAAATAGTAGGAGTAAATTATCAAGTTAGAAAGAGAGAGAGAGAGAGAGAGAGAATGCAAGCGATCGTAAAAAGACGACCACGACGACCCCCGGTGGAAAGCACGAACAACGCGTTATGCGAGCAGCGGCGGTGCTTTCTCTTTCAACAATTTCAATTGATCGTATCATCATCGTAAAAGAGAATATTCAGAGATCTTTGTTTTCACACTTTCTTGCACGTTGCATGGAAAACTGGTCAAAACGCAATCATCGTTGGATCGAACGATAGACCGCGTGGGGTGACCGAGTGACGTGTGCGCGCCATATTGAATGAATGACGCAATCTGTACACAAAACATTACGCGTGCATCTCGAAGAAAGCGGTTTTGGAGCAATGAATCGTTGTTAACACTCGTAGACGAGTTTTCGTTTTTTGACGACGTAATCTTCCTTTACTTTCCTCTCTCTCTCTTCCTGTTTCGGTCCATCCCCACTCTCGTTCCTTCTGCCACACTGTGTCATTCTCTATCCCGCGTCCTCTCATTATTTCGCTCGCTCGCATTAGTAAGGGACGTCACGCGTTGATAGCGTAACGATACGTGCTCGTAAGCGAGCTTGTGTACTACGAAGATAGATCTTTGAGGTGAATCATTCGTGTTTCTTTTTATTCTTCTTCTTTATCAAGATCCAAGTTTCTTTTTGTTTGATCTCTTGGGTGTAATCGTCGTCGTTCCTTCTAGCCGCTGCCGCGTCGTTCGACGGGTACGAGCGCGCGCAGCCGCGCGCGCCTAATTTTTATATTGACAAAACGATAAATACAAATTAAAAGAATGGCCGCGAAAAATACTACCGATTTAGTTGACTATCTCGGAGATTATAGACGATACTTCGAAGAATTCATCCGAAAAATCAATCCGGAGGATCAACTGCCTATGAAGGTTAATGCATACAGTATTACGCAAACGGAACTTGTTGGGGAGATCATCTACTTGACGCTGCAGTACATTAAACAACCGTAAGTACATTATCTTATTATTTTTCTCTTCTTTTCTCTCTTCTACACTTTCTTTTGCCTTTAATCTTTTTATTACGATAACAATTTGCGACAAATCCACATTTCTTTATACTTTATTCTAAAAAGTTGGTATTTCATTTTCCCGCCATTTGTTAAAATTCAAATCGCAATTCGCCAATTGGCGCGAATTAATTCTCGGCGACGCATGTTATCGCGCGAGTGTTCGTTCTTTCGCATTAATCTTTGAACGTGGGTTTTAATGACAAGAGAAAAAAAAAAGAGAAAAAAAAGAGAAAAAGAGAGAAAAAGAGAGAGGGTGAGTGAGTGAATGAGTAAGAGTGAAAGAAGGGCGTAGTAGGAGAGAAATAACTGTATTGGTAGAAGTTGAATATTTAAAATAATCTCTTAGCGCGAAGATTTAACAATTTTTCTCCATCCGATCTTCTTTATTTATATAAAGAATAATGTCATAGCCGTAGAGATAGTCATCATTCTATTTGGAATACTTCCCTTGCAATTTGCCAATAGTTTCCTGTTAACTCTACAGAAGTAAAGCTGAATTTTGATGGACTCGAATCATTGTTGTAATAGCTTAAAAATATTACGCTTAGTAAGCATTTTAAAATATATCAAGGACAAAATATTTTGTGTATGACGTCATAGAAATCTGGTTTTTTTTTATCGTTTTATCACATGTCATGTGACATATGACATGATAAAAGACAACACCACAACATCAGCAGATGCTTTTAATTATAATATTAATTTTTCATTTGTATTATTCGTTTACAGAATTATTTAAAACTTACATTGGAATGATCATTGATAATATTGTCAAAATATTATACACAGTGTATACATATATACTACATATATATAAAAATGATATTTGTATCAAATAAAAAAATCATCAAGATTTAAGGTTTTAAATTTAAGGAACTCGCTTGAAATATCGTTTTGCAACTGCATCGCTTTTTTCGTTAGACATTGTCTGGAACAAAAAAAGAACTTACACATTTCTTATAATAATAAACGTTTGAAAAATCGAATAATGTTTTCAAAGATTCATTTCGTTTTCTCGGATGGTATAGCTCTTTAACTTTTATTATCACATGCTATACTTATTCGTTCTTTTGTTTGCACCTTTTATGTTAACATGCAGACGTGTATAGATGTATACGCGCGCGTATATATGTATTATATATCACTTATGAAAAGTGAGATCTTAGGAAAAAATTTGTTAGTTCTTTTCTTCATCATTTAATAATAATTTTTATTTTAAATATAAAAAGATTGTTATGAAATCGTTAAAAATATAAATAAAATTGATGAAATTATACAATATAATCTAAAGACAGAACTTACCAAGACGAGACCATCGTCAGTAAAATCGTATTTCCGTACTATTTTGCTGTTATCTGGTCTGTATGATACTGTCACGAGACTGTCATCCTCCATTGTCGTAACATTCTAAAGAAATATAAGAAGTATGCTGTATTTTGTTTACACGTAATGCATGAATTTGCAAAATAAATGTGAAATTCAAATTAGAGATAGCATGTCGGTAATTACTTTTAATATTTCACCGGAAGGCAGAGTTTCCTCGTATTCTTCACTGAGAACAAATATTAATTCTATAGTACGCATCATAGATACAGTACGAATCGACCATTTTTCTCCTTCGTTTGAAATTTCCATACGTGGACTTGCTAAACCCATCATTTTTCGTGCGACATATGGTACGCCTAAAAAGTAATGGATACGAAATACATTTCAAAAAATTATAACAATAAATAATGTAAGTTTATACATTTCTAATAGAAATCCTACCCAAGTCTTTGAAGTATTCGTCGATATTTTCGTTACGTTCGTGTTGATAAGTTCCAACGATCGGTGCCATTTTTGTAATTTAAAATTTCAATTCTTATTCAAATGCTGTCGCATATGTTTCCTCTACGTCTTCTTTTTTTTCTTTTTCCTTTTCGAATAATCGTTCTAGACTTTCCAATGATATCTTCCTTTCGATATTCCGTTTTCCTATTAACGATCCGCCGAAATGAATTTGTACATAGTTATCTGTGATGTTTTGGTCGTTGTCGTTCGTATCGTCACGGATAAGGAATTTCTTTTTAAGACAATTTTTTTTTATACCTCTTTATACGTTTAATCTTCACTGTGTACACACTCTGTCATTACTTTGTGAAATTGTCCTATCTAATGTTATGATATGTTATCTTTTACCATCTTTTTCTGAAGAGGCTTTTAAATATTGCAAGTTTAGCGCGCGCATGTACGATAGAGAGAAAAAGAGAAAACTTCAATAACTAATCGTCAAGATTACGAAAGTATTTTTTAATTCGAACGATTGATTAATGATTAGTTAGATTATTATGTTTATATTTCCCCAGATATATTAATAATGTTAATGCACTTTACGTCATTTTTGAACAAATTCGAATTTATATTTAAATGATAACATTTTTTAAATATTTTTTCTGCTTACATTTTAATGAATTTCGAAATGCAAATTTCTTGATGCAATCACGAGAATACTTATAAAATATAAATATATTTATACACATACAATTATAATTGTATATAATATATATAATTTTATATTATAATTGGCGGTTCTTATGATTTTATAGACGTTGTCCATGCAGTCTACAAGGATATCTCGTTCGCCTTGTATTACAAGAAATAAAGGATTTGTGCGAGAAACAACCAGAAGAATGTGGGTTCAAGTTGGAAACAAAAAGTAAGTAATTCTATATGCTTATAATTTGTATTTATGTTATACGCTTTAACAAATCTATGGATAATTTGATTTTTTTTTAATTATTTGACAGCATATGCTCCACTGAAACTTATGCAAGCAGTTACAAGCAAAGTAAATGAAATATTTACTCGCTATTTAGACAATAGTAGATTAGTAACGTTACCTCCACCTTCTTCAAAATTGCCACCTTTGGCAAGAAGCGGAGCATTGAAGAATGGCAAAAGAAAAATGGAGGATAGGCATGTAGAAATTTATGACTTACATACCACTTGTAATGTACAGGTGAATAGCCACAATCATATTTTCACTTTTTATTCATTCATTATTGTTAACATAATGGTAAAGATGCATGTTTTATCATAGAATGACTCCTTAGCAAGTTACTTCGCAGTATTTGATGGGCATGGAGGAGAAGATGCCGCTGTCTATTGCGCTACACACTTGCATCAGTATTTAGCAGAGAGTATATATTATCCTACAGATCCAGAGCGTGCCTTATGCGACGCTTTTCACACTACAGATACAAGATTTATAGAAAAAGAGAGAACTCAAGTGAGTGAATTTTTCTATAAGTAGTTTTATAGTATCATACGCGTAGCATTAATAAAATTACTTTGTTTTCTCCAGAAAGTAATTGGAGGTACAACCGCAGTCTGTGTATTATTGTTGGATAAAAAATTATATATTGCTTGGGTAGGAGATTCTTTGGCTATGCTAGCTAAACGTGGCAAAGTGGAAGAATTAGTATATCCTCATAGACTATCTCGATATGTAAGTAAATATTTATGATTATAATACAAATGCTTTCTATTAAATAACAGTGCTTCTGACAACATGATCGTATAAAATAACGTGTTCATACGCATCGCTATGTACACGTATTCTCGTAGTATCTATGCCAGGTCTAATCGCCTTTGGATCGACGTTAATTAATTTTCTATCATGAATATTTTTAAATAAAAGACCATGTTTAGAATTTATTATTGGTTCATAATTTGATGTAATATTTAATTGCATTTTTCCTAATTTCCAATGATAGTACGCCAAGTCTGTAATTTTAGGCCAAAGTTTCTTTTTTCCTTTGAAATATAGCTGCCAATCTTCTGTCTTAAGTCTTTCACCAAAATCAATGTAGCCTGATACTTCGACTTGAAGGCGTGGATTATGGCGTATAAATATAATAGTTGATAGTACATGTAGTCTATTAGAGCGTTCGCGAATTGCTAATTCTTGCATTACCGGATCGAAAGGAAGTATAAATTCAGAAGTAAGATGATATGGTTGAAGAATTGGGTATAATAAATCTTTGACAGTTTGCAGACGCAGGTAGAAAGTATTTTTATCAAGAGTTTCTCCTGTACATCGATAACCAAGTTCTGCTAATTGTCGCGCAACCTTTGTACTTCTCAAATAGTTAAAATCTACAGGAGTTACCAACGAATCTAAATATTCTTCGTAGCTTTTGAATTGTAATAATCTTCTGTCACTATCCACTTGTGTACTTAACGTAGTCATTTTGGCATATAAGAATTAAATCTTTTGACACAACAAATATAACGTAACTGAAGACTATTTTATAAACTAAACTCGTTCTTGCAAATACATAAAAATTTAGACATTTGGTATATGCGGAGAGCTTATTAAATAATTGAAATTAGTTAATTATTCATAGCAACAATTAAAAAGAGATGAAAGAAATAGCAAATATGTTTATAGGGTGTTTTATTAAATGATGAAATACAAACTGAAAATAATTATTTTCTTTTCTTTTTCGATAGGATGAATCTGAGAGGATACAACAAATGGGTGGAATGCTGGCATTCAATCAGGGTACAGTGCGAGTTAATGGAGTTCTGGCCGTATCTCGTGCTATTGGTGAGTGTTATTCATTGTGCATTCATGCAAATCACGTATCGCTTTTTCTTTTCTCTGAAAAAATTCTAATCTGTTAAGATGAGGATAAGTTAGTAAGAAGGAAGTAAGGAAATTGCGCAGTTTCCAAAGCGTGACGATTAGTTTTTGAATGTAAATAAATAGTAATTAAAATTGTTTCACACACACACACACATACAACACACAATTACTTACACAAAATTCGCGAGTTGACGCGAGCTTATATACTGCGTTTGAGTAATTGTCAATGTCCAAAAACGTTCCGTTTCGAAGTAATCGTGTTCACTATTCTTCGCAAATTCTCGTTGATTTTTTCTTCTCAGCAAATTAAGTATATTTTTCGATGGATGGTAACTTTTCCGGTCGATAATAAATATTTTCATTTCTGTAGATAACATTCGTTTTTACCGACCGAAGTTAAGAATAATTATATAATTTCGTCGGTACGAAAGAAATCTACGATCGACATACCACAAATAATTATAAATTCATATTTGCCCATTAATTAAAATAGAGTAATTAATTGTAGATTGTTATAATTGATATTTCCATATTTTACGCGAGAAATATCTAATGAAACGAATGTAATGTTATTTTAAAGTTTTAAAGGTACGAATATCGTAAAAATATTAATTACGAAAAGCAGATATTTGTGAATTAAATTTTGGTATTATTATTTCTAATATTCGAAGATAATATAATCTAGAACTAGTTTTATTTTAACGAAAATTTATTAATTTGTATATTTATAATACGTATATACTTAGGAGGAAGTCAAGTAGGGTCGAGTTGAACGAAGTGTCGGTCGTTGGCCAACTATGGCTTGGATGATGATGGAAAATAAGAAGAAAAAAAATTCTGGACGCGTGTCGGGTATCCTGTTGTTGGTTCCGTTCAACCGCTGACACAATACTACGTGCAACTACTTTACTGGGTGGCATGCAGAATTATATGTTTGGAATAATTAACAGTCTATTATACTATTTCTGTGTTACAGCAAGGTATACTTTATGACGAGAAGTAAATTAAACGTCGATTTAAATCGCACGTGTTATCTTCGATATCGAATAAAAACTTTCTTCTTATTTTCCATAAAATATCATTTAAATAACGTAGTAAAGATGATCGATCGAGAGAATCAACGCGTTCTGTAGAATCGTTATTTATTGGTAGAGATTCATTACGGGATACCTATTTTAATCTCTGCTTAGTAGAGAAGGAGCAACATAAATTTATAATAACCGGAAGCATTCTCAAGAGTGGCGTCGTTATTTAAATTAGCCAAGCTATTCATTAAATAGATAATTACATTTAATTAAGAACAGGTCGAACACGAGAATATGTAGATAGTTTCTACTCCGTACTATAGCGATACGTTTTCACAGCTTTTAAGACTACGACTAACAATAAGATTATTATAAATGATCGACTGTTATTTTAGTTTATCTCTAACAATTAACAATCTTTTCAATCATTTAATAAACGCTTATAGATTAAAAAGATATTTTAGAAACTGATCGATAATACTTGAGAAATACAGTAGGACATATTCAATCAAAGTTTGTGCATTAATTTAAAAATATATTTTTCTTTTATAGGAGATGTAAAATACAAACCCTACGTAACGAGTGTTCCTGATACGCGTTGCATTTCTCTAGACGGTACCGAGGATTTTATTATCATTGCTACCGACGGAGTCTGGGATTTTGTCAACACGTACAATGCTGCTATGATCGTTTACGTAGCGATACGAGAATATCCTGGTTGGTAAAAAGTTTCTTTTTTCAAACGATCTAACAAAATAGGTCATATTTTTCTTGACGATTTTTTTTTTAGATTAAGTTTAGATAAAATTAAACGGCCGATCTAAATAAGCTTGAAGATCACGACACGTAGAAAATAAGATATACCGAGGTAGCCCATTGTTTTAGAAATTTCTTCTTCGATAACGGAAGTCTCGAAAGATTTATATTTTCGCGCTTTTCTAAATCGCTTGCCAACAAAGTGTGTCCAGTCGTTCTGTTTGTGGCGATGTCATGCTCTGTTTCGTTCGACGGTAGGAACGGAATAGGAAGACATTAAACGCATAACGCTTCTCAAAGTAAAGCCTTTTCTTTCACATAGTGATTAGTATCGACTAAAGGTTTTTTTTTTCCTTATGTCTGTGTCTGTGCGTCTGTGTCATTAGTTTGTTCAATAATTGTCGCCTCGATCATTCTCATTCCTTGATTAGTCTCAAATTCCTTTCGTTATAAGCAATCGTAATTGGGAACGTGTCCAATTGAAGGAAACGTTTGCCGGCGGATAAATGACGTCGTTTTTATATTATTACATCGGACAACAGGATAAAGTTTCGATCTTCGTGGATGAAATCGAATGGAGACCATCCTTATCTTCTATTAACAATAAATCTGATTACGCGAACGTGTTCTAAAGATATATATATATATAAATAGTCAATTGGATTAACATTTTCTTTAATTTACATTAAATTTGGATTAAAAACATTTCGTAAGAAGTTTTCGTAACCATGCCAGTATGGTATCGATTGCGTTTAAAAGGCGTAACGAGAGGTGCACACGAATCGTTATAAAATTTCCATTTTATTGTTAAATATCAACGCGAATTCGATACGAGTAAGCAAGCCGAGTATAGGTATATACAATTTGCCATAGTTCCCTACGTTATGATCAAGGAACGAAATAAAATTGAAAGCAAGCAAGCAAGCAAGCAAACGAGCGATCGTCCGTGAGTAAGCGAAACGCGTGCGAGAGGGAGAGACGAGAGAGACGAGAATGTCTGAGCCCCGGCATGGTTGTCGAGTGCATCCTAGCAGGAAGAACACGGGCGGAGAGTATATAAAGCCCTCTTTTGAGAATGGTACCAACCACCCTTTTCCATGCGCAGGGAATTCATTAAATATTTTCATTTTCGCGCTTGATTTTCTCTCTCTCTCTTTTTTTTTTTTTCAATACAAACACAACGATCTCGCAGGATCTCTCTTTTTCTCTTACAGTATTCTTCCTTATGGTCGTTAATGATCATATTTTTCTAAAAAAAGAAAAAAAAACCAATTTTTTTTTCTAGTTGATAACCAACGTGATTATTCCTTACATTTGGTATATTTTTAAACAACTTAATATTCTGTATCTTTATATTATTTTATGCAACGTTACATTTTTAATTAACGCATAAGACAAATTTCGAAAAGATAGATACACGAAATACGAAGGATGTTTAAATAAAGAGAGAGAGAGAGAGAGAGAGAGAGAGAGAAAAAAAAACAAAGCAAGTAAAAAAATGTAAACGCATTCGCAGCGATGCTTCGAATGTTTTTTCTTTTATTATCCTTGAATTCGAGAGAAACGATAGGGAGGGCTCAATCCGACCTATCAACATGAGCTGTTGTAGCCTTCGTCCTCTGGGCTCGGAGTGTTCGACCGAAGGTCTCACCGAGCATTCGTTCTTTCGTCAGCCGTCTGCGAAGTAGTCTGACAGAAGCCGCATCACCGTTTCTCACTTTACCACCAGTTGTTCGCATTTCATCGATCACCGAGGATCGATCTTTTGGCTCTTATAATATATTACTCCTTATATTCTGACGCGTCTTTTATTATTATTATTATTATTATTTTGTATGTATCGTCGTCTCTCCCATTAACTCTCTTTCCGTTACTTTATCTACCTGTTCTTTTTTTCGCGGAAATATAAATATATCACTGTATTTTGTACTTTTTATTTATTTTTATTTTATTTTCTGTTTTTCTTTTTTTTTTTTTATATTTTATATTGTATATATATATATATATATATATATAGTTATTAGATTATTTTATGTCATGCGTTTTTAATTTTGAAAGATTTTAAAATGGAGCCCAAAGCATCGACGAGGTCGTTCTTATTTACATGATATAACATAATATATATATATATATATGTATAAATCGTATATAAATTTCTATTTCTTACTTTGTCAAATTGTTATTTATATTACACGATAGCGAACGAGAAAGAGAGAAAAAGAGAGAGAGAGACTTGGTGATTCATAGTGATTTAAGAGTGTTTCGAAAGGAAAGAAGAGGGAGATATTTTCATACGCGTCTCGTTTTTTCACGCACGTCCGATTATTTTTGGTGAGTAACAATTTCAATAGTTTGCTTTTTTTCCTTTTGTCGATATCGATCTATAGAATAATCGATTATCAAACCAATCAAATAACGTATTTCCGTTTGAATCGAATAGTTCTATCTAGTTGTAGGATTTCCTTCTGACATCGTGCATCCTCTTCTTCCCAATACCAAACAATTTTCACCAAAATTCCGGTATTTCCCTCGATTTGATCGCTGTGATTACACGAACGCGTATTTTCTTCCCCGGGGACATCTTTATTTCCCATAACGTTTACCTATTTCCCCCAATTGGTACGGCAAATTCGCGTTACTATTCGATTTAATCGTTATTTCAATCAGCCATTTCATTTTGTTATCTTTTCGTTTCGTAAAACGAGATAATCGAAATAAACGAATTCGATTTATTGTAAAATTTTTCAGGACAAAATATAATTGATCAATATTTTTCAATAATACAAATATTTGTTATTTAAATTTCTCTTTTTATAAATATCGTACATTAAAAAGAAAATAATTAATTAATATAATTTGATCTTTTGAAAAGACGTATAATAAATCTTGTTCATTATTTATTTGTTGTCAGTAAGTAAGAGTATATATATATATATAAATATATCTTTTATCTCGACGATATCATCGTAAGTTCATCGATGATAAGCGCGTTGAATTGCTTTTCAAGTTGTCTAAAATTCAAAATAAAAAGAAAAAGGTGCGACAGGAGAAGGAGAAACTGTGAAGGTTGATCGCCGTGCGAAATGAATTTTCTCACCGCGAGAATGTTGCTCCGTTCATTGAAAGGAGCCCGGAAATCTCTTTCTCCGCAAACGAAACTCGGGGTACAGTCGTTTGCGAAAATATTCTTTCGAGGAGACTTCAATTATCCGTGATCGTTCTCCTTCGTCGAAAATATACAGGGTGGTAAAGGAGCTTACAGTACTCACCGTATAGACGAATAAAAAAACTTCTAATTAACATGAGTCTTAAAATCAACCCTTTCGATGTAATTTAATTTCTAATTATTTATGAGCGTTCTCAAATATCGTAAGCTAATCTTTTAGTAATACACAATAAATGTATATAAAGAGAAATTTGTTTAGGAATAAATTAATTCGAGATTTATCGAGATAAATTTATTCTAAAAATAAGCAAAAATAAATATTAATTCGTAATATTCAAACGTATTAGATCATAGATGTTCTATTGCGAACTGAAATTAATCGGAGTAATCGAATGTTTCATACTTAATGACCTAATATCTACAAATCATAGATATTCTGCATATCTTCCTTGCATCCATTTGAATGCAATTCTAACGTCATACGATATCATAGATAACATATAGACATGTATAATATACTAGTCCTATTTCTAAACAAATTCCTCTGTTTATACGTATACCTTCGTTCGTTTATTCGTACATATACGCGTTGGTATACGTCAATACATTAGAATAGATTCTTATACATTCGTAGGATGACTTATGTCTATTGATAGATAAGTACAAAAGTCTCTTGGATTTCCGGCGGATATCCGTGATTGTCCAGTAGCTAGCAACACGAAGAACATTTATTTTTGCATAAATTATTTTCTCATCGTAGTGATAAATGATTGAAAATGAGAAATAAGTTGTGAAAATAATAATCTCTGTGAACATTTCAACGAATTGTTCTTAAGATTAGAGTCAAACGTATCGAAAACTTCTCTCTCTCTCTCTCTCTCTCTCTCTCTCTCTCTCTCTCTCTCTCTCTCTCTCTTTCTCTCTTTCTCTCTTTCTATCGTGTTCTCGATACATTATAGATTATATTTGAAATCGTCGAATTATTTCTCGAGGTTTGACGATTTAGTCGTTATAAATTCTCAGAACAAGGATGACGACGGTAGCGACACGCGACGAAGAGGTAAGAGACGTAGAGGAGGACCTGGGGCTGCTGCTCATGGCAACAACGCAACAGAGAGAACCAACGGGGCAACGTTCAAATATCGCAATAAAGTATTAAACAAAGGAATCCAGGAGGAGCTGAAGCAAGACCGCGGTTACTGAAGCGAAACGCCTCGAGTGTTTCTTCGTCTTGAAAGGACTCGGTAGGGGCCTCCATTCACAATGCATCAATGCATCAATGCATCCCTCTCTCTCTCTCTCTATCGGTTCCTTCGAAACTTCTTTAAAAGTTTTGCTCTTCTGTGATTCCATTTTTTGTTTTCTTTGATAGAATTAAAATCTGCGTCATATAGGAGTAACTGTTTCATCGTAAGATTGACGATTTGAATGTTGAACAACAAAAAAGGGAAGTTTGCATTTCGTAAAATGAAAACGCTTTAAAATCAGATCGTCGAAGTTTGTTCGATCGATTTTCCGGATCAAGTTTACCCTAATCGATTTGAAAAGGGTGGAGGTGGTGGAAAAGGAAAAAAAGGAAGGAATAAAAATAAAATGCAAACCATTAGCGACGGAAGCGAGTATCGTCGACGAGCAATCGCATTAAGTCCGCTCTTTGAAGAAGCCTAAGAGCCAGGAAGCCGAAGGTCGACGGCCGTGTCGCATTATCCTCGGTAGGACGCTTAATAACATTTTTCATGTCCTTCCAACGTGGTCAAGGAGAAGAAAAAGAAGAAAAAGAAGGAAGATTAAAATA